AAAAAAAAAAGATTAAAGTGGTATAGCCCGACGGGGTTATAGAATAATATTTAATATTATTTGGCGATATTAGTGAATACGGTTAAAGAAGCTTAATAAACTTTAAGACCGTCGGCCATATAAAGGGTCGCTACAGACTGGGTCACTAATGGGTGGCTGAAATGCTGCTTAATGTACAGTCGGAACTTTAGTTAAATGTGTTTAACTAATAAAATATACGAATTCAAAGTTATTTTAGCTTATTGTTAATATATTAAGTAAGTTTTTATGTATTACCTGACTGTGACCATGAAGGCCTTGAGCTTATGTCTGTATCTATAAATAAAGTGTTACAGAAACAAAACACTAATATTAACCAGTCGGAAGAAACTTGATTAAAGGAAAGAGAATTAGAATTAGATTGGTTTAGTGGATTTTCAGAGGCAGAATCCATGTTTTATATATCTACTACAGGAGCTTTATCATTCAAAATAAAATTACATTGAGATGATAGACAAACTTTAGTATACATAAAAAATTTGTTAAGTGGGTTGGTAAATCGAGAAGTAGGTGTTATTGTAGATTCAAAAAACCAACATGAATCTTATTATATAGTAGCCAAGTTTATAGATATACTAGAAATACTTATTCCTTTATTTTCAAAATATTATTTTACAACTTCTAAGTTTTTAGATTTTCAATGTTTTAAGGAAGCAGCTGAAATAAGAAAAACATCTTATAAAGAAAAGAGAAAATTAAATAAAGAAGAATTAAACCAAATATTAGAGATAAAAGCTACTATGAATAGTAACAGATCGGAGTTTGACATGAATGATCTTCCTAAAAAATTTTTAAGTCCTTCTAGACTTATAGGATTTATAGAAGGGGATGGTGCATTCTGTATACCTAACATGATTCCTACTCTTTCGATTAAACAGCACTCTAAAAATATACACTTTTTATATGAAATTGCTGAATTTTTAATTAAGTTACCGTATTGCCCAGAAATAGAGACTAAATTAGATAAATTGAACACTAAACCTACTCCTGGAGTATCTAGAGATAGTCCTACTACATGTATTTTAAGTGTTTCTAATATTCTTCAACTTTATAATTATATTTTACCTTTTTTTAAAACATTAAGATTTAAAACTAGAAAAGGTGTAGATTTTCAATTATGAGAATTAGCAGTAAAACTTAAAGCTCTAGGGCATACAACAAACCCTGAAGGTAAAAAATGTTTCATTGAAATAAATAAGTATATTAATAAACGATATACTACTAGCACTTTGGTAGCGGAAGCTCCAAACTTACAAAAAATTTATGAAATATTAAACAAACCTCCTATATTTGATTTATCTTCAGGGTTATCTTATAAATCTCTATCCGATATTATTAAAGTATCTAAAAAAGGTCACTCAGGATTCGGTGGGAATGTTTATGATAATGGTGAATTAGTAGTAGGTTCTCCTTTCTCTTCATATACTCAAGCAGCTTTAGCCCTTGGTAATATTAATGTTTCTTCCGTTATATCTAAAAAGATAGATACTGACAAGCTTTATAAAGGAAGATATAAATTTGAATCTTCTGTTTAGCCTGATATTTGGTCACAAAATTAAATACCTCTTTCTTACAATAAGCAAGTTTGTATGTATTGCCCTACGGGCAAATGTCACTATGAGGTAAAATTTTTGCCTCAAATGTATAACTAAAAAAAA